TGAATACAGCTTTGGCATCCCATCCATACAGTGTCTGCCATGAGAGCAGTCCATTTTCCAGTCATCTGTATGGTTTTCTCCATCTCCTTCAGACAAAGGTGTTGTTCTCGGTACACAGGACTTGGAAAAACGGGCTAGGAAGTTTTATGTAAAACAGAACAAAATGAAGTTTTGGGGTTTAAAAGTGGGGTTTAAAAATGACTGTTGGTTTTAAAAGCGCTTTTTTTAATAGCAAAACTCTACCAGAGTATGATACCTCTCCCCATGAGTAGTTCTGTTCCTTGCTTCTATGTTTGTTTAGCAGCTATGAATTTCTTTATTGTAGAGCAAAACAATTGCCTTCAAGTGTCCATATTCCATTAAGCATATGGAAAAGTATTCAGCCCTTTGTTTTCTGCAGAATGAATTTATTTGTCACTTAAGTATTAATTTAAACTAGTCATGGAACATTAGTGCTTGGTAATTGTCCACATTTTTCTGGGGTTTATTTAACTGATTGAGATTATTTCAGAAATATGCAACTTCTTTAACTGTTCCATTCATTGCTGAGTGTCCCTTGCAGAGGCTGCAGGCTCACAGCAGTGACAAGATGTTGCCCCATCACGCAAGATTTTGGAACTGCTGATGCATGTCCACTGAGGGAAAGCGGTAAAAAGTCACCCCAATTCTTTTCATAGCAGCCAGCTCTGGTTTTGCCAGTTCCTGAGGTTTTCCCTTCCAGGAGCCCAGCCCAATTCCTCAGAGAGGATGCTGCTCCTCTGCCGTGGGACCACAAGGCTTCTTTCTCAGCACTGCATCCAGCAGCAGCATCAAAGGCAAGCACCTGCCAGGCTCCAAGGGCACACACATTCTCCAAGGGAGAATGGTGCTCTGCCTCACTGAAAACCATGGGCTGAGCTTTTTTTGCCTCAGTTTTCAAAGAAAACTGCCAGCTCCTTCCCCCAGACTTCAGACAAGCTGTCACTCCTTTCAGCAAGAAGCAAGAAAATTAAGCAGATCTCTTTTCCCCAGTGAAGAAATGTTATGGAGTGACCAGCTCCTGGGAAACCACCAGAAGTCTGCCAGTGTCCCACAGGCAGTGTGTATCATGTCTCATATGCTGGTATCTCTCCTTTTGTTGATTGTGTTTCTCTGTTGTCAAGTGTCACCATTGCCCCATAGTTCTGTTTCGCAGGCAGCTGAAGCCAGGTAACTTGTGCCAGGATTTCTGCTCTCCCAGAGGGGTCATCCACTACACTGGTAAAGACCTACTCTCTAAAGCCTTTAGCAGCTTGTATGCCCCCAGCACCACCTGCAGCCCTTAGGTGACATCAGGTAATGTCCCCCACACCTCAGTGTCTCCCTCTGTTAAAGAGCAGCAAAGGAAAAGCCACTGCTGGGTGGGGAGGGAAATGAATCCAGGCTCACGTGCTTCATCAGAGATGCAAATTGCTCTGCAAATCCTGAGCATTAATTATAGAGCCTGGGCTTCTCGCTGGAGCCACGGGGAAAACAGGTCCCTGGCTCACATTAAATTTAATGGTGTTTGGACACCCAATTCTCTTAGCCTATTTGAAAACCAGAATCCCACTTTCTCCAGATATATATGTGGTCAGGTGAAATCCCTCATCCCACTGCAGACAGCAACATTTTTACAGCATTGCATTCACCCTCAGGTGGTGGGGTGTTTTCCTTGTGCCGTCTGTGGGATCTAGGAAAGAAACAGGGAGTGACATAGTTAGCAGAGGTCTAGACAGAGGGCTCAATGGACAGGCTGAGGAACACAGCTCTGGCACCATGGTTTCATTGCATGGTTCACTACACCCAGCTGAAGGCTGTCCCACTGCAGGGTCTGGGAGATGGGCATGGAGGGCCCTGCACACCCTGGATGTGAGCTGGACATGGAGACAGAGCTGCCTTCCTCCAGCACTGCTTCATCTCTCATCCAGTGCCTCCAAAGGTCATTATATGATGGTTCTCTTCTGCAAGGAGCAGACCTATGAGGCTACAGCTGCCTCTACTATGTAGCTGCAGTGGCAGTGTGATAGCTCAGTGTGGGATGAGATAAGAAATAATGCAGTTGGGAAAAAAGTGGGGGAAAAATCAAACATTTGGGGGTTAGGAGCAGAGGATGCCCCTGGCTGAGTGAGTTGTTGCTGGTAAGCAGCTCCTGGAAGCCACGTTATTTTGTGACGTGCTGCAGTGTGGGATGTTGTTTTTCTAGGATTGTAGGTGTACAACAGTGAGAGGTGATCCCTGCCTGGGAGGGCTCACAAAAGCCAGACTTTGATGAGAGTATGGATGTCCTAGTTCGCAGATGAACCAGTGAGCAAGGACAGAATTTAAGCAGAGCCATAAGAAGCTGCCTACTCTCTAGCCCAGTCTTTGTGCACAGGGCCAACCTCATGTTCAAACACCAGCTGTGTTTCCAGCTGCATGCATTTTGGGGAAATTCTTGATCTTTTTCCCAGTGTTACCTCTTTGTTCAGGGTGGAGTTTTCCTATTCTGAGGGACTCCAGCATTTCTGCCTAATTTAGCACAGAGAAAATGAACAGCAAACCCTTCATATTGTTATACGCATTTTAGATGTCGGCCTCACAGTTTGATCAGCAGAGGCTCCAAAGGCTCATAAACCTGGTAATACATAGTTCCAGGACTGCATCAAAGAAGTTCACAACCCTTTTGGGAGAAGCTGTGAGTACTGATGAAAGAGGGAACTTATTGTATATGTAAGAAAACCTCTTTCATGGCTTATGTATTAAGGCAGGCTCTGTGGCCCAGGGAAGATTGGGGCTGCTTTTAATTTACATCGCCCCTCACTTATATTAAGTCTTCGTCAGAAGAAAAATTAGTCAGATGTTTTCTTAATGACATCATTTTTTTTAATCCTGTTTCATTTTTTCCAGATGAGGCGGTGGAGATTATTAGAAATGAATTGAAACTAAATCTGGAACAGAGACTTTGATTCACTTCTCCCTCCTCCCCGGTAGAAATAAATTGGTCGGCTCCGTGCTCGGATGCCTTTATTAGCAGCCTCGACAGAAACCAGCCCCAGCGGCCTCGGCTGCAGCTTCCTGAGCTCGCCGCCGCCACGGCTGACGTCATGGCGAGAGGCACCAGGGAGTGACTTTGGTCACCCCATAATTTTGGTAATGGAAGGCCATGGCAACACAGGTGGGGAGGTTATGAGGTCTGAAATAGCCATGCCATCATCAGTTCGTCTTTCAGTGTCATGAAAGAAGACAGGGTTGATGCTGGTGGGTGTTTCTCTGGCAAAACCCCAGCCTGGGTCTCATGAGCCACCTGTTTTGGTGGCTGTGCATCTCCACAAAGCCTTTATGTGTGACAGATTTTCACTGCCTGGTATTTCACACCACCGAGTGTGCTCTCTACCACACTGTAGAGTGCATTTCTACAGGAAAGCACTTTGAACTATAAATATTTCAGCAGGCATTTAATTTACTACCCATCAGCAGAAAGTGTTCAAAAAGCCACAAGGTTTACTAATTTATCAGAAAGACAGAGAAACACACAGAAGATCAAACAAAGACAAACACGCTTGTTAAATTGCTGAATAAGTCTGCAAAGCTTATATTACATTTCTATGTGGTTTTGTTGATATGCAAGTATTACAAATAAATTAAAATGCACCTGAACTGTTGATAAGGCAGGGTGGGACTGAGATCCTGAGGTGCTGGTGGCGTGTTGAAACTGCTCAGGTCTTCGTGTTTGTGGTTGTCTGTGTGTGGAGAGACAGATCTTCCATGCACTCACTAATGGCATACTTGAATAGTCTTAGTGAAGGGTCTTTGTAATTCCCTCCCTTAGATCAGCCCACGTCCCAGATCCCTGACCTCCAAATTCCTGTTGTCTTCTGTGCTCGGGGTGCAGCCCCACGGGGTGCACATCCATCTCCCTCAGCTTTGCCAGAGCACCCAGTCAGGGACAAATGCTGTCCCTGCTGTGACCTGTGTGTCAACGCCAGCTCTGCTTCCAGCAGTCTGTGAGTACAGAGAGAGCTAATACAAAGCAGATTTTGCTCTTTTGTTTTGCCTAATGACAGCTCTGCCTCCTTTGGTGTCTAGCTCAGATTTTCTGCATTTCAGGTCAGGGTGAGTAACTTTTTCTCCTTTGCACCCTCTGTGGTTTGTTTAAGAGGCTGGAGGGTACAGTAGGGCACGTGTCTGGGAGAAGTCTGTAAACTTTCTCTTCCATCCTTGTTCACCCTTCAAAAAACTGCTTAAGCACTGAAACACGCATGTGATGGTTTTTTGTTACCTGCTGAATCCCTCAGTATTTACTGACTTTATTCTCAGGTAGCACTTGGCCTGGGGAAGATCTGAGGGATTTAAGAGAGGTGGCCCCCAGAAAGCATGCTGTAAAACCTCTCATGAACTTTTGCCCTCTGAACCATACCACCAACCTGTCAAGGAGGTTTGTGCTGGCCATGATGGACGCAGGAGGTGGGGCTGCTGCGCCAGCACGGGCCAAGCCATGCAGGCTGGGCTGAGCAAAGCACAGCTCAAGATCACATGAGTTCTTCTTGCAATATTCCATCCTTGCACAGGCTGCCCTGTGTAGGGCTTTCTGCATATGGCAGTTCTAGACATCTGGATATCCAGGGGCAGTGAGGAGCTTGCAAACCCCAGGTTTGCCTCAAATGTCGTTGTGTGGGCAGCCTCCCTGTGCAAGGAGATGGAGTGGGATCTCTAGCACCGGGTGTGTTCCATGCCTTCTCTGTACGCAGGCACTGCCTAAAGCAGCTCATGCCCCTTTCCTTAGCAGCCCAGCTGGGGTGAGCCATCTTGCACAAATACATATTTAGTGCAATAGCGGTGCATGTCCACAGGAAGCTTGGGAGCTTCAGACTCTGCATATGCCAAGAAGAGAAGATTGTCCCACTGTGTGGCTGAACTCCTCTCCTGTGGGCAAAGGCTGTGGGGCAGGAGAGAGAAGGGTGGCAAGCAGTTGCGCTGTTGGGTGGCTGTGACTGACGGCGTGTCTCTCTTCTCCTTCCCAGGCCTCCTCCTCTGAGCGGCAGCCCTGTCATCTCCGACATCTCCCTCATCCGCCTGTCTCCGCACCCTGCCGGGCCCGGCGAGTCGCCCTTCAGCCCCCCTCACCCCTACGTGGCACCCCACATGGAGCACTACCTCCGCTCTGTGCACAGCAGCCCCACGCTCTCCGTCATCTCTGCTGCCAGGGGCCTCAGTCCTGCCGACGGTAAGGCACTGTGCTACTGTGATTTTCTAGCTCACCAGGACTGAAATTCCCTAAAACCCGGGGATTTACAGCTGCAAAGACTCCACAGCTGCTCTCTGAAGTGGGAGAGCTGTCTCTTTTTCTTTTTGTTGTTTCTTTTTTTTCCCCTTTAACTACACATTTGTTTTGCATCATCGCACTGAGAAAGCAGAGCGTGAGAATAGCTATTACTGCTGGATCATATTATAAATATTTTGCTTAAAGTACGTTCCTTTCTGCAGCGCTCTTTCTCTCTTAGGAGCTTCCCTGTTCTTATGTCTCGACTGGGACCCAGCTTTCCCCAGAGAGGGTCACAGTTGTTCTGGCTGCCTGGCCTGGCTGAGACTGATGTTACAGAGGAGACAACACCAGCTGGGTTATCCCTGTTGGCTTTGTGTCTGGGGCCAGCGTGGCTGCTGAGTGAAGGCGAGGGGCCACATTTTCTTCCTCCTTACTCCTGAGCTGCCCTGCAGCAACCTTCAGGGAAGGAGAATATGTGGGGAGTTGGTGCTGGGTGCTGGCAGAGGTGATCATGCTCTCTGAGCCCTATCAGACCTCATGTTGGGGAGCTGGGGACAAAGATATCCAACAGGGAAAGGGGAAAATGCACAACACTGCTTTCACTTGGCAAGGTGTAAGTCATGCCTTACTTCATCAGGAGAGCTTCATTACACAGTTGCAGGTGGCTGGCTCAGTGTCCAGGGAATAGCTGGGGACCTGGTCTCTGCATGCCCAGCAAACCCCAACATCCCTCAGCTCCCAAGCTGCTGCTGGGGCCAGCGGTCCTTCAACACTGCAAAGCAAACTGAACCAGAGAGCAACAAGGCCCCTGGATTAGTGTCTGGCAACATAAAACTGTCTTGTATGGCTAAAACAACATCACTATAGTGATGGGGACATGCATATGTCTTCTTCTTCCCTCCCCTTAAAACGTCACTGGAACTCTCAGGCCCCCGCCAGAGAGAGTCTCATGGCTTGTGTGTGTGTGTGTGTTCTGCTCTGTCCTCTCCGTCCAAAACCAGCTTCATTGTTTGCTGTGGAAGAAAGGCATTACATTTTGGGTTGCTTTTCTTTTCATCCTTTTCTTTTCTTTTTTTTCCCTTGTTTAAGGTGGTGGTAAATAAGTTAATGGGGCAAGCGGGTGGGGAGGCAGGTTTGAAAAATTACAGCTGGGAGAAAGTGAGTGTAATTGGCTTTGGCAGCCGAAATGGTTTTATGCTGCCAGACACTAAACCTAGTTCTATGCATTAGACCTTGGCTTTAATTTCCTCACGCTGCTATCGGGAACTGGGCTGCATTTGTCTTTCCTTCCTAATAGGCAGGGATGTTAATGCTGACAGGGTTACTGCTGTCGGCAGCCTGGGCCCTCTCCCCCCCTCCCAGGGGTGCTGGCTGCGTCCGAACGGGAGGATTATTAGAAGGGGGAACGAGAGATTGTTTATAAATTTGCGGAAATGGAGGAATGCAGAGGCCCCAGCCTGGTCTCCTTTGTCCACAGAAGCACGCCCAAGCGCACGTCACGCGCGCCCTTCGCGGAGCCGTGCGGCTGGGGCTGGCGGGGGGCGCGGGGGGAGCCGGGGCCGCCGGCGTCAGCTCCAAGGTCTAACACTGCAGTGGGAACCTTCTCCCCATGTTTCTCTCCTCGCCTGCGGCTCCAACAGTGGCTCATGAGCACCTGAAGGAACGAGGCCTCTTCGGGCTGCCACTGCCACCACCGGGAGCCAACCCTGCTGACTACTACCACCAAATGACGCTGATGGCCGGCCACCCAAACCCCTATGGGGACCTCCTCATGCAGGGCGGGGGAGCAGCCAGCACAGCCCACCTCCACGATTACCTCAGCCCTGTTGATGGTGAGTAGCAGCTTGGGTTCTTTCTGTCATGGCTAAAATTTTGGGATAGATGGATGGGACTGTCCTCCAGGCGGAGGTTGCTGAATGTGGTCACTCTGCCCTGCTGGAACTTTTGGGTGCTGCATTATAATTTATGGCTTAAAAGGTCACCTCCTTCCATAGATATATAAAATACACATAACCTAAAACAGATACATCCTGCTGTCTTAGGGAGGATGGCATGGCTGCAGCATGGGTAGGGAGATGGGCTGGTCCAGCAAGCTGGCCATTGCTGCTGTCCTGCTGCATTGACCATGGGTGACCAGAGTGTGCCTGGGGACAAACTACATCTCTAGCTCCTCATCCCACCCTGTGTTTTGCCTCCTTAGTGTCTGGGGTGAAGCTGGGCCATGTGCATGCAAAGCTGGACTAGGCACAGCAGACATCTCATCTTGGTTGGGACCTCTCGGGTCCACAAGGAGAGAAAATATCTGAATGGGGAGACACAGTGGAAAGAATAAAATAGTACTTTGAGCAAGGAAAATTAAAAAAGCAGGAATGTGGTATTTGTGATAGCATGTGTGTTATAAACCCAGAAAGCTTTATCTCCTGGCTGCATGAAGAAGAAATAGAATCATGTTAGGCACTGCAGTGCTGAGTCACCCCTGTGGCCTGACTGCTGCCCTGTGAAGAGCCTATCTGGAAGCATATATGAGGTCCAAAGGATTTTTAGAGCTGTTAGAAATGGCTTTCCTTTCACTTCATGCTACATCTTGCAAGAACTGGTTTTACAAATATTACAGAGGGCAGTTTGGGGATTATTTCTGCTGCAAGAAGGAAAAATCTCAGCTCAACTTTCAGATTCGGTGTCTGTTTCCTGGGATGTCTTTGGATTTGTCGGTGGACCATTACAATTTTTGCAGTGGAGATCTGCATCATTTCATTACCGCTTCAAAGTTTCTGTTGTTGAGCTTTTAAGATGAAAGACTTTGTGGTCTTGCTGCTTCATAAAGTGACTGGTTTAGAATGATAAAAGCTGTTCTGGCTTTTCAGTGATGGGAGTTTACAGATACTTCTAATGGAAAAACAGTTTCTCATCTATGGCTGCTGTGGAAGTTTTACCTGAATAGTCATTTTGTGCTGGTAATTCCTAGATTAATTTGGAACCTCGATACTGGTCTGAAAGAGAGAGAACAAGCTCCTTGGTACCATCCTGCCCTCTAACACCCAAAATACATCCCAGGCTTCTCTGCTACAAAGCAGCTGGTCAGTAAGACTGCTCTGTATTCTCTCCCAAGGGTTAATGCCTGTGGTTATAGCAGATGGGTGCAAACAAGCCCTGCCAAGTTCCCCTCGGGCTCATGAACAAGACTCCTTCCTCCTTGCCTCCTTATTAGTCCATCTCTGACCAGCAGTGCCTCACTGAAGTGCCAGATAAACAGCCAGTGAGGGAAGCAAACACAACTGTTTTCATGGTGGTACGAGCTGGCTCCCAGCACACCACGATGCTCATCCTCTGGTTTGCTGAAGATCAATCTTTATCTGAGGTACTGAGATACTCCCCTTGGCAGAAGACTCATACTGTTTGCCTTCTCCTGAAAACAGCTCTACGGTGAATCATGTATCAAAGGTCTCCGTTTCATGCAGCCAAGCTCATAACCATGATTCACTGCAGAGCCAGGGCTCACCAAGAATTTATTACAATCTTTTGAAAAAGTTTTGTTGGTGATTAACTGGAAAGCCTTTTCTGGGTCTTCATATGTTCTGCACGAGATGGAAATTTTCAAACATTATGAGAATGTGGCACAAGACACTACTTTTTAAGAATGTGTAAAGGACCACCAGTCCAGTACCAATCCATGTGCCTGGGTTTATCCATCACCCAGAGAAAAGAGAAAATGTACATTATTAAAGCAGAGAGTAAAATGGATAGCTCTGAAATGCTCAATGAGGAGACAGTGTCTTCTTCTCTTTTTAGAAAGTTATTTCAAAAATTTAAATCAGCAGGGCCTAAGTAAATAGTTGAACAGATAATTTAATAAAGCATCCTCTTATGGTGTTTTTCTGAGACAAGAATATCAGTAGCATGCATAAACCCCCAGTGAGTCACCACCCCACTGCATCTGTCGTTCAGAGAGCCCTTTTCTTCCCAGGGAGCCTGGGAACATAGAAACTTTACAAGAATTAGTTTGCTGAAAATGCAGGTAGCTCTTGTTAAACCACATGCAGCACCATCATTCATCTGTGATAACACTGGCACCTGCAAAAAGAAAAGCAGGAGATAAGCATATATTAAATCTGGCCTATTCAGTGTCACGTCACTTCCAAAGATCTGCTGGTTGGTCCATGGGAGCTGTGGACACTGGCTATGGTGATTCTTCCACAGACACATACCTGTGCTTTTTTGGTTCCTGTAATTGAATTTCTCAGTGCTTTCATAGCTTTTTGTCAGTATTTTTCACTCCATCACATGTCTAAGGTCAGGAAAAGTAATAGGATATAAATGGCAGCTGGAGCTTGTTGGTGCCAACCCTTTGCCAGGCCTGCTGAATGTGCACATGGTGACTGAGCTGGGCTGCCCAGAGCTGCATCTCTGCTGAGTTTTCAGGGTACAGCTAGAAGAAGTTAAAGCAGTAAAGTAGACCAGATTTAAGTTTTATGTACCAAATTGCTGTGGTGTTAAGGCCAGTCCCAGTGGAGACTAAACAACCGTTCAGTTGCTTCTCCTGTGACATTTCCCCATCCAAACAGGGACTCAAAATCCAAGAGTGGAGTTTGAATCCAGGCTTAATCCTATTTTCTGGACAGCCTATAATTTCAAATCAAAAGTTAATCACTTTCCAATGTCACAGCATTGCTGATGGGGTACATCTGAGACTACCTACAGGTTCTATTCACCAGACCAAAACAATCTTTTGCATTTCTTTTTTAGAAGTAGTGCTACATGGTGGATTATTCCATGTGACAGAGTGGTTGTGCAAGAGCATCCCTGAGGCAGGAAAGACTGGTGGGGAACACAATGACCCTGGAGATGGCTACCACTTTCATGTTTAGTACTTCCAGCTGCTTTTTTCCCTAGGCACAGGACTTTCTGTGATTACCCTCAACCCTTCAGGAGGAGCCATTTTCTCTCAAGAGGAGTCTATCCACACTGACTCAATTCTGCTACTGTTCTAGCCCTGTACACCAGCAAATCTCAAAGTGCTGTACAAAGCAAAGACATTTCATCACTGGAGACCACAAAAGAAAAGGAGATCAGTGAGCAGAGTAGTGGCAGCTTTAGGAGCAAGAGCCAGATCTTTGGAATAATGCCAGGGTAGAAATTAGAGGTCATTTTCAAGTCCATCACTTTGCACAGCTTTAATAGTGTGATTTGGTTGTGCATGCTGAGTAAGGGAATGGGAAAAAAACATCTTGAGCACAAGTTAGGTCCAAGGTAGTCCCTCATGTCAGGACAGCTGTATAGATGTGTTTGTGCTACACTTACCAATAGCAGGGATGACCCTGCAGTGCTGTCATTGCATTTTGTCCAGTTCTAGAGCTAGAGGGGGGATCTCTACCCCGTATTTTGCTGCCTGGTGCCACAAATGGTGTCACAAATGTCTTGATTCACAATCAGCAGTTTAAGAGGGAAAAGGCTTTGTTCAGCACAGCATGGCCAGCAGCTGGCATAGTTGCCTGGGATGTGGGCAAATCACAAAGCGGGACTTTATTTCCCCAAATCAAACGGTGATTCAGCTTCACCAGCCTCTTTCAGTCAGTGTTGTTGGAGTCTTTCTCCTTGAAAGAAATTATTTAATAGCAAGCAGGGTAAGGAGCAGGGCTGGCAGTGCAGCTGGGTGGTGACTGCAGTCGGCAGGCACGTGGCCGGGAGAGGTGAGCTCAGGACTCTCTCCAGCAGGTTCATGTGGAGCAACTGCTCCATCAGGACAAAAGCAGAGAGCCAAGCCTCATGGGGACCTAGGAAGGAAGTGCTTCCCCTGGGGCTGGAGGGACAGCAGCCCTAGGTTTGCAGGCTGGATGTTCTGGATCACAGATGACTTCCCAACCAAGCCAGCTGTTGGCTTCTCTGGGCAGACGGCGCATCCTGTAGTCACTTCCTTAAAAACTCTCAAAGACCTATTTTTTTTGTTGTTTTCTTTGTCCCAGCATAGAATGGAAACTTGCTGAAATCTCAGAAAAGGTTCAGAGAATGGGAAACAATTTCCCACCCATTTCTAGCCAGCAGTGCTGTTTTCCTCCCCAGAAAAATATGTGCAGAAGAGAGAAAAAGTCCCAGAGCACCCCATAAGTGCTGTGTCTGGAATCCTGCTACACTCTGGTTTCTAAAGAATTCAATTTACATATGCAAGTTGGGTCGACTAAACAGTTACCTTGTGGATTGGGAGTAGAAGAATGCAGCCTTGTCTTTCAGCTAGGATTTGAGGGAAGCATTAGTATTCCTTGAACTGCAAAGTTGATCGGCCTGTGGAGAGAAGAAAGAAGGGTCCCAGGACAGTGTCTGGTGCCAGAACAAATGTCCAGCATCTGCTGCAGTCTGAAAAAGAGGTGTGTTGCCTCTGCAGAAGGAGAGAGGGGAATAAGGAACTGGTTACACAAAGAGTGTTTGTAGTTTATTGCCGCTTATCAGTTATGGGTCCATCCCGTGTTTTTATGGGGCTCTTGGTTTTCATATGATGATGGGAGTGGGGAGGATATTTCTGTACACTTTGGATGGAGTTTTCTTGGCAAATGGTGAGGAAGAGGGACCATTTTGATAACACAGTATTTATCCTGGGGCTTGGCCAGGGGATGGAGGGGAAGCAGTGGCTCTGGCCAGGTTTCAGTGAGGGGGGTAGGCAGGGTGTGAGCCATCTGCAGCCCATGTGCCTTACAGGCTTGTCTGTTAGGGAGCACATAGCCCTGATGGTCCTGGGCTGTCGTGATCACAGCCACATGTTTGTCTGTAAAGGGTTGCCTCAGATTTCCTTACTCTGAAGGAGCCTCGAAGGAGCTTCCCCTGAGTGTCTGGCATTTCTTTCAGGAGGGCTTTGCTGCCACTATTTCTAGTGTGACATAAGGTCTGAATTCTCTCTCCAGAAGAAAACATCTCTTGTAGAATCCCTCTGATAGCCCATGGCCACAGAAGTGGTCAGAGCAGGAAGCTCTGCTCTCATCTCCCAGACAAGTTCAGGGGTCTGATCCTGCCCTTGGGCATTGGGACCAGGCACCGGAGCTGGTCCACAAGCCACCACATGTAAGAGCTGACCATTTGGTTATTACTGGCCTGTTGTGGATTAATCTTAATTTGGGAGGTTTCTGAGCAACTGGTGGATGTGATAATTCATGGGTACCACAAGAAAGTGCCAAGGATACTCTTTCCTTCTAGCAAAGAAATCTGGACTTTCCTCCCAGCACTCTAACCTGTCTGGGGAACTTCGCCCAACATATTTTCCAAATATCAAAAAGTTCTTTAAACTAATCCTGTTCATTTTGAGAAGTAGGCATTTTTGAAAGGGGAGAGGAGGGAGGAGTCTTAGTGATAAATGTTCCCAAAGCTTTCCATCTGTGTGTCTGAAAAGTGTATCCTGCCTTTAGTTACTTCTCTGGGCACAGTCCCTGCTGAACAGTTGTGTGTTTTTCTTTTAGAACAACACGAGACCTCAGACAGCAAAGGACTTCACTTATATGCCCCAGCGGCTGTCAGTCAGCCTGTGTTTAACACCTTGCTATGTACAGCTACACAAATGCTGACCACTGCTGCTCCCTGGTACCATTTAACATTAGTGCTCCATGTACTCAGATCCGGAGATTCAGATCACGCAAACTTTATTATTTAGAAAAGTCCCAGTGTTGTTAATCTGCTTTTAAATAATAATTTTGTAAAGATTCTCTCTTCCTAAATGCACTAGTGAGCGTTTCTTCTCGTGCCTAAATTTCTTTTCTGTTTCGCAGACGATTCTCTTCCCAGGCTCCTCGGGTAGGCTGTCATTAAGAAGAGAGGAATTGTTCATCCATAGCATGATTTTAGGTCACAGCTTTCTGTGGAAGCCTGCAAGACCTAAGAGGCTGTAGTGTAAAGCATGAGCCTAACCTATTGGATCTGCTATCAAACATTTCAAATAGCCCACAGTACTTGCAGGATCTAAATTAGAGAGGACACTAACACAATGCATATTACTGGTTTTGGGCTGGAGAATTCCCAGGAGAGCTTGATAATCTGACAGCTTTCCACAGAGTTACACATGGGGGAAAAATGACATATCTGTGTGCAGCAGGGAGGAGTGCCCACATCATCTGCACAGCTAAAACCCAGGTTTCTGTTGGACATCAGGTCTTCTTCCCTCTGCAAATTAATGTGAACCAATGGCTGATCCAGCACTGTGAGCATAAATCATGTGAAGGAAGAGCAAGAAATGAGTACAAGGCTTTTCTTTCTATTTAGTAATTTATCAAGGGAAGTGGCACATTAATAAACAGATCTCCCTTGAGATGTGGGAGTAACAGAGATAAATATGACTGTCAAATCTGGCCTGCTTCCTTATGTTAGAGAAGGAGGAGACTGTGGGAATGCAAATGCAGGAAACAATATCTGTATCTGGAAATACGCATATTATCTGTAGGACAGAAACCCTGACAACTCATCTGAGATGGGCCCCATCGCACTTGGTGCAGTATGTACACAATAAAATACAAGCCCTGTCTAAAGGAGCTCATCTAAATAGATGACACTGGGATATAGGGACACAGAAAGAAGCAGCAACTTGCTCAAGGAGGTGTGGCTGAAGAGGACTGGGAAGAGTACCCAGATCTTCCCAGGTTGTGGTGCACGTATTGAATCATGATTCCTTATGGCCAGAGGAACATTATGATCTAGGCCCACTCAACCTTCATGTTGTTTGGTCTAAGGTTCTGGCAGGGCTCAGATTTCAGGAACCACATGGGAAGTTTGGGAAGTCTCCATTTTAGCCTTTTGGGCCAGCCTTTGCTGAGAGGAGTTCATTTGCATAATTTGGTTTTGTCCACAGTGCCTCTACAAAGTGGCTGCATCTTTTCTAGCTTCCAGGGAAGTGTCACACTAGAGTCTTTCAGCTGCAAGCATTTGGGAAGTTTGAGCCTAGTCCCTCAAAATTGTGGGACAGCTTTAACACTCACATGGTGTTTTTTATAGACTGCTGCCCTTTCTCTTTGCTGTCTGATCTTTCAGTTATGTTTTCTAGCATCTCTCTGCCCCCTGAGGCTGCACAATGTAGTTGTACAAAATATTATAAGAATGTGTTGAATGTATGTTGAATGTAAACAATCTGATTTTTAAGAGAAATTTCCTAGTATTGTCAGTTTTTCAGTAAAGGCATTGCATCTAGCCACTTTTGAAGCTGCTTAGGTGTAGAACAGAAGTCACAAGAGTGCTTGGTTCAAGTACCAGCTTAGCCTTGGATTTCCAGTGGCACATTGGAAAAGTAATTTATCTTATGCAGTGAGGGTCATTATGGGGTCTAAGAGGATGGTGATACTAAACCCCATAGATTACACAGCACCTGGGCATGGTAATGGCAGAGCCCCTTTGGTGCACAGGTATGTCACGTGGAGGCTGGGATACTGCAACCCAGCCACTGGTCTCAGGGAAATGCTGACAGAGACTGCTGTGAGCCAACACAAATCAAGGAATTGTTTGATCACACCAGCAGGATACATCTTACCTCATTCTACACCCCATTCACCCTCTCACATACCAGTACTGTCATCAGGACAGAAAGTTCATGCTCTTACAAAGTGTCAGGCTTGTATTTAGTGATATGCAGCCAAAATCAGTGCCTTCAACCAGTTAGAGGAAAATGGCTCATACTGCCTGTCTGGGCAGTTCAGTGTTTTATTCACAGCATTTAATAGGATAAACCCATAGTATAGGATACGGGAAAAGTCAGGTGGTGATACGTTACTGTGCTGATCAAGGGAAGAAGCTGAAGCAGCTGAACCCTCCTGCACCCCTGGGTGGATGGCAGGGATTACCAGCCAGGACCCATTGCCAAGTGCTATATTTTATCCTCGGATTTTTTTTTTTTTTTAAATACACAATCCAAACATTGCTTGCTTTGGAAGGATGAGTTATTCCAGGCAGGCAGGGTTTGGATGTGGTGCCCTGGTACTGAGGAAAGTTGTGATACAGCCCATCTGCAGCTCCCATCCGTGCCACCCCAGAGAGCTGCAGGTGCGTCAGGCCTGGGCAGAGTTTCCTTTGGGTGAAGTCAGTCGTTCCAGTTTGCGGTGCCGAAACACTGAGGGGTGCCAAGCTTTTACAGTAGTAACCCATCATGTATTGCAGATCCATACATGAGCCTGGCAGGGTTGGAAATGACTTCATGCCTGAATGATTGACAATTGCTAATAGGTTCCAGGCACTGGCAGGTCCCCTCAGAGCGGGAGAGCTTGAACTTTGTGCCTGAGCTGCCAAATTGGTTTTCTTAAAACTCTTAATTTACTTTCAGGGTTTCTGGAGCCTCGCCTCCTTCATTAATTGGATGGTCAGCATTGTGCTCACACTCGTTTGGTTTCCGTTCCCCCCACACACAGGCACGCACTCACCGTTTGCAATGGTCGCCCGGCTTGGATGTGCAGTTCCCCTGGCCTGCTGCTCCTGACACCGAGGCAACATGGCTGTGCTCATGGAAACCTTGTAGACATCCTCCCTTTTTAGTTAATTTGGTGCCTATGAAAGGGGGTGATGGACAGGAGTCTGTACCCTGAGGACAGCAAAGCAAGCAGGCGTTCATGGTGCTGCCTGACCCCTGTGATTCAGCGCCCAGAAGAGAGGAAAGCTCCCATCAAAGGGCAGCTGGTCCCTGCACTGCTCCTGGCTCCTGAACATCCTGCAGCAGTCAGGAGCGCAGCAGTTCTCAGCACTTCCAGTTTGCCTGCAGGAAGGGAGCAGCCCACTGGTCTTGTCTGACAAAGCCTCTCTTTTCCTGCAGTGTCCCGGTTTTCGAGCCCGCGGGTGACTCCAAGATTAAGCCGGAAACGAGCCCTGTCTATCTCCCCGCTCTCTGATGCCAGCATTGATCTCCAGACAATGATCAGGACCTCCCCAAACTCTCTTGTGGCATATATCAACAACTCCAGAAGCAGCTCAGCAGCAAGTGGCTCCTATGGCCATTTATCTGCCGGGACAATCAGGTAAAGCTCTGGGATCAGCTCCATTCAGCTGAGGAACCACCCACACGAAAGAAGGGATGATTCTCCAGCAAGGGAGAGCTTCCCTTCCTTGCAGCCTCTGCTTTTGTTCATCAGGGTTGTGTAGCATAGTAAATCAAAGCCCCCATGTGGTTTTGCATGTGGAAGGGTATTTTGTGGCATTTGGGGTGGGGTTTCTTTGGCTGGATTTGGGTTATTAGCTACCACTTTTCCAGTAATTACAGTATGATCATGCCTCCCTGCAAGCAGAAACAGATAATAAATTTATCTCAAAAATTGCTCATTGTGAGAAGTTTAGTTAAGAAACACTCTGATTTAAGAGATTGCCCCAAAGTACTCTCCAAATTACTGGCCCACATTCTTAGAAAAAATGTTGCCTGGGTGGATAGAACAGCCTAATTCTAAAAGCCTATTTAAACCAAATCTAAACCCTTGAGTAAAGTTTTGTTCAAATCTTAATTAAAAAGCACTTACATTAGGCAGCTGACTGTTGTCAATCCCTACTGTGATTGCTTCACCCAAGTTTCACAATGTTATTATTCTTTTTGTTACTTAACTGTTAAAAATGTAAGATCTAATTAACACTGATGTTGCAAAGCAAAGGGTTACAAAGATTATGTGTGCTTAAAACTTGTGGGGGAAAACAAATATGTTTTTAATAATAAGTGTAGCATTAATTATGTAAGTTACTTTATCCAGCAGCATAATTTAGAAATTGACTGTAAAATCAAACATAAGGCTGACATAAACAGATTGCAACTTCTTACCTGTTAATCATATTTTTTCTCATCTTTTTACCTGTTCTCATTAGCTGCACATACCTGTAGCATCTCAACTTAGATATTAAGAGTAATATCTGGTATTTTTAACCAATTAGTAGAGTTCAGGGACTGACCCAGTGGTCAGCTTTCAGCCTCTTAGGGAATAATCAACTAATAATAAAGAATTTTAACCCCTTCTCAGTGTTCTAAAAATAGATCCTAAATGTTAGGATTTGTAAAATAGGTAACATATATAGCAGCATAACTGCCAGAAATTTCTTATGAAAATACTTTTTTGTTATTATTTTAACAGCATCTTAGAGGCAGGAATGAAATACTTTCTCCAAAAGCAAAATTGGTTATTAAATGTGTTTCTAATGATGGCTGTATTCTCTGAGCACTCACACCTTGGGCAGTTTTAGTGGTGTGAGAGAAGATACCATGAGGGTAAAGGTTCAGGGCAGCCACTTCTTGAAGATAGCAAATAATCAGGTTTGGGCCTGTCTATGGTTCATGCATCACACATCTAGAGTTAGCACAGAGCATCTTCTGTGCTTCTCTCTCTCTGCCCAGTGGTCTTGCCCCTGGGAGTGAACCCCTTTTTTCCAAAAGCAGAACTTTATTTTACTGCTCTCCAGTGCTACATCCTGTCCTGGACCTGTTGCCACAGTTATTGCGCAAGCAGCCAGGGCGGGTGGTGTTCTGGTCACTGCTGACCTAGATTGGAGATGAACCAGTGACCTACATAGGAATGGTGACATGCTTCAGCAGTCCCCTGAGCCAGCACTCCCCTCACCTGAAGTCAGAGTAAACTGCATGGTTTTGGACTATGTTAAGTGCATACTTATTCATCCTTGCTGTAATCTGTGCCAGGTGAGCCAGGTGATGCTTGTTTTTCATATTCAAGTTAGCATAACCCCAAAGCTGCAAGTTTGCAAAAGAGGTCTGCCTGGGGAAACCCAGGAGCCTTAGGGGCTGCAAAGCCAGATTTGCCCAAGTCCCATACTCTTATGAACTCCCGAGGGCTTTTGTTGGGTTTTTTTACATAGGAAGCAAAGAAATCACGATCAGTCTAATCTTGGGTCAAAATGATTCACAAGTTTGCTGAGGCACATGCACTTCAAATCATGACTTTGCAGTAAAGCAGGTAGTCAAGCTTATCCTTATGCATTGAAGGCAACTATCTGGGCATTGCAGCCTGGTTCCTGGAGTCTCCAAGAATCCAAACTTCAATCAGTGACTGGCTAATATGATAAGTATTGTTTAAAATAACTTCTCATCATTTCTCTTTCTCCTGTTGCTGCAGTCCAGCATTCAGCTTCCCCCACCCGCTTAACCCCGTGACATACCAGCAGATCCTGACGCAGCAAAGAGGCCTGAGCTCAGCCTTTGGACACACTCCTCCCCTGATCCAGCCATCCCCAACCTTCCCCACACGGCAGCATATGGCTGTCATCTCCGTGAACCCATCACCAGCACAGAGCAGCAGCAACAGCAACTGCATCTCCGACTCCAGCCAGGTAGGGACAGCCATGCTGCATGGCACACATGGGAACGGAGGCACATTCTCCGTGAGATGTGGGCTTTCCTTCATGGTGGTTGTGGGAGTCTTAACAATTCTCTTTTTTACTCACTCTGTCCCTTTATGTTGCTTTTTCCTTTTCCTGGGACATGTTTCTGAATTAGTCACAGACAAATTTTGCACCCATCTACCTTCCTTACACCTACCCTTGCTGAAACCAAAGGCCTTGGTCAATCCAAGTATTGAAAACAATATGTAAGGTCATCCCAGGCAGGAAATCTCCTTGAACATGCTATGTTCTATGAAGTTGAGGGAAAGCAGTTGCTTTAGTGTTTTGCAAAATAAGCACCTGTGAACCAAGCTTCTTTGGGACCTTCACCAATCCCTCCTTCCTTTAGTACTCATGTGAACCATGATGATGGTCTTAATCATTAATGTGTAAGTGCATTCTGTGTAGGACCTCTTCACATTTTACTTGCTGTTCCTTCTTTTTCAGTAGATTTTCTCTCAATGTGTCCCTGCTGTTGATTTTTACTACTAAATTTTATAAAACCAGGGGCCAAATTTTGAAAACTGAATGAGATCCCACACCTTAAATGCATCCTTACTAATACCTGTGAGCACACAAGCACATATATGTGTGCACAAGCCCTCTACATGCACTGGGTTAGTGAATATGCCTAGCACATTCTTAATCATTTTTTCTTTTCCACATACATTCCTTCCAAGTCTAAACTGCAGTTGCTATTCTCCCCAGAGACTTATTTCACCATATGTCACACCCATTTCACATCGTTTTAGTAGCATCATACTGAACTTTTAAGACTGGTTTATTGTTTTAGGGTTTCTCATGGCTGCTGCACTACAAACTCTGTTTGTTATTGCAGACATTTGATTGATTGGTTTTGTTTTCTCCTTACAAACTGGCTACCAAAATAGTGTGGCTAGAAAGAGTCCTGTCTCTGTTTAAAAATTTGTAGGATCAATCTTGAGCAATTAGCAAGAGTATTTAAAATGTTCATGTTCCAATTTTGTGCACATACAATGGGATTTTTTTTTCTCCTGAAGTTTTTCTTATTTTTTTAAGAGCTCAGCAAATTACACACATAGTCTTTCATGGACACAGCATGCCAGAGCCCTCACATATAACCAGAGCCCCCTGCTTCCCCCAGGAATTCATTTTCTCTACAAATCATTTCATTACATTGAGAAATAAAACTGGCTTGGGTGGGGGTTGTATAAGGCTTTGATGGCTATGCCATGGACTGGTTTGCTCTGAAACAGAGCAGCAGTGGAAAGGCCAAGCTTGCCAGCAAGCCTGCAGAAGTTGGGGCTGCCCTTGATTCTTCTTCCCTCTCTCCCATCCCTCTGCTTTGCACAAACCCACATGAGCTGGTTTTCCTGTGAACCCCAGGCCAATCCTGCTGTCCCCTGCCACTCCTGAAGCTCAACCTTGACTAATTTTAAAGTTAGTTTTTAATGAGGAAGTGAACTCTGTCTGTCATCCCAAACCCAGCGCCATTTCTTGCCTGGTTTTCTTTCCTAGAGCAAGCAGAGCAGTGAGTCGGCCGTGAGCAGCACCGTCAATCCAGTAATTAACAAACGCAGCAAAGTCAAGACTGAAGTTGAGGGCTTGCCCCCAGTGTCCCCAAACACACAGGTAACCTCCCTGCTGTGAGCCATGTTGTGGGGTTGAGGCGGTGAGCTGAGTCTCATCTTTGGGAATGATCCTCTTGGCATCAACTGTAGCTGGGAATAAGGCAGCAAAATCTGCCAGGCAGGCACATTTGTGCTCTCTTGGAGCACAAAGCCCAGGAAGGGACGGGGAAGAGCTGCCGTGACTGAGTGAAGTATTCCACGGGTATTTGGGACTCAGCTTGCTGTTGCTGTGCTTGAATAGAGAAAAAAAAAAAAAAAAGAGGAGAGAGCAAATATATCAAGTGTAATAATGTAAAAATGATGTCTGAATTTTCTGTGCTGCAAAGCAAGCAGCATTAGTCTTAGAACAAACATAGATTATGAGGGAAACTTGCATGTAGGTAGAAAGCTTGCAAAAAAAGGATGACTTCTTGATTCAACAAGGAATTGCTCCTAGAAACATCCTTTACACTGGTGACACAACATTTGACACCAAGAAGGGCCCAGAGGCCTTTGCTTTCTTTCTGGAGCCCTGTGATTGCAAACTGCTTAATGGCTGACAGTATCCATCTGACCGTCCTTTATCACAACTGTAAACTATCAGGAGTGCTCTGGGCACTTCATTTTCATGAAATATTAAGCTGTGTTATTGTCAAGCGAATGGAAGAGTTGATGACAAATTTCTCCTTCTGCCCTGGTTCAGGAGCAGGTCTCAGCATGATGCATGGGGACAGCAACGTGTGCAGTCATCAGGGGGCTGGTAAAATTGATGAAGATAGCATATCAGGGAAAGATAAACATGCTGTAGTCAGCACGATTAGGGCAAAGAGGCACCTCTCTGGAGCTTTGAGTTTAGGAGTGCATCTACACACTGCTGCAAAATCACATGCCCTGAAAAACCAATCTGGCCACTGCCTGGGCTAATAGGGCAATGTGTTTATTTCTTGCAGTAAATGAAAAAACATTTGAAAGCCATCAGTTGCTTTCTCAAAGCATGTGTTAGTGGAGGAGCTACGGGACAGACAGCTGCTTGCTCAACAGCCGCCATCCTCCGTGCGCTGCTCCATGCGAAGCCGTGCGCGCCCAGCTTGGGAGTGCTTGGACAGCACCAGCCTGGCTCACCCCTGCAGCCCTGCTCCAGGGGTTTTATCCACTGGGTCTTAAAAACACTGAAATTGGCACTGAATGGAGCGGGGGAGTGGTTTAAAGTACTGCAATGAGATTTTATTAGAATAGCACGGTGAAATTAGGAGTAGGAAAATGCACACTGATCATCTAATAGTTCTTAATGAGGCGCTATGTGAAGTAATTCCCCAAGAGAAATGTCGGTTCCACATCTTGCAGTATTTCAATATTGACTGGGAAATTACTAGAAGGTACCTTATAAAAGACAGCCTGTTCTTGGCAAAGAGAACAAATTAAAAAACTGAATATAGTGGGTGTCTCCTTTGGTCTAAGCAAGAAGAATTAATTAAATTTAGAAATTCCTTTTCTGCAGGAGACTGTGCTGAAAATTTGTGTTATAGTCAGTTAGTAAATGACTGATCCACTTTTTGTTGACTATGAAGTTCATCTATTCCCAAAAACGTGTATGTTTTGTTTTGGAAATGCTGCATTTGAAACACCTCATGTGAGTTGTGATTTGGGTGTTTGCAATCCTTGGCAAGACAGTATCTCCCATGATGGTTTGTGCTGTAAAAATACAATCAGACAAGATTTGTGGGACACAGTGAAGTCCCAGGCATGAGGGACCTGAGTTACTGAACTTCTGCAGTGCCACAAGAGAGCTCCAGTACAGATTCAGACTAGCATTGAACTAGCTAGAAATGAAACAAGTCAGTCCTTTTCAACAAATATAAATTGTTACAGTTCCATTTCTCTAACAGAAAGTATAAAATTTTTGTCTAAGTAAGATTTTTAGTAGAAAATTACAGTTGTCCAGGAACCACACTTTGCACAGAGACAAATACTAAAAAAAAAATAGTGTTTAAAGCTCAACCAAACAAGAATTGCAGGAAAAAGAAGCTTCTGTTTGAACTTTCTCAGACTGTTGCTCTGGGCTCTGGTATAGTTTGAATCTCCAGAAGTCTTTCTGTAAATTACTACAGTTTGCTGTCCCAAGAGCCACCTTGCAATATCTTTTTTTTTTTTAAATAAGAGCTAATTAAAACAAATCTCTTCTGTCTGAAGTGTCCTGGAGGCAGGATGCTTTGTGCTAGGCAGCAGTAGTATCTGGGAGGAAGGGGGTCAAAACCTGCAGGGTTTTGTCTTGCTAGATTCCCAAGCCAGTTCTGGGTGCTGATGGCTTTGTCTGTAGTGCAGGTATCTGATGCATGCAGGACAGTTGTCCTTACTCAGATTTATACTAATTATCTTGTATGTTACACTATTGTGTAGCTGCCCATGCTTTAATCCTAGCAGCCGTAAGAAAAATCTTCTGTGCTTCATTTAGCGCTGAGGAGCTGGCTAGACAGAGAAGTTAAGGAGAGAGCTCACAGTGTACCCAGCATAAAAGTAACTCATAAATGAGTCCAGAGTCCCAGGAGCTCTGTTCTGCAACCTACTCTTCACTGGGTCTTGCTCAAGCTTTCCAAACTCCCCTCTCAGATAAGTGCTTTGAGAGCTCATCACTTCATCCCTGTGGACCATCCTGCAGGCATAAATCTTTGGGTTAGGTATCATTTTCTCATCTACTGAGAGATGCAGGAAACAGGAATCCCCTGCCCAGCCCATGTCAGGTTAGTGGGCTCTGGCCTCTGACTGCCCTGTGATTTCTTTATGCTCATGTTTCTCCACGCCCCCAGCAAATAACACAACCAAAGGTCAGGAGTCAGCTCTTTCCTTTTTTCAGTTTTTCCTGGGACTGCCCACAACTCAGCTAAATCCAGGCACTGCTTCAACAGTGGCTTTGAGTTGTTTCGTGTTTTGTCATCAACTCTGATACACTTCTGCCAAAACCCTGTAGCTCCTTATTTCACAGTAATCATGGATGTTAGGTAGCCACAAGAAGCATGGTTTTGTGATCAGTTGATACTTGCCCTGTAATCTATGAGTGATGGAGGAATTCAGATGAAAGTTCACCTTATACAATGCACCGTTATGTGTTGCAGGAGCATCTGACAGACCTGAAAGAAGATCTTGATAAGGATGAATGTAAACAGGAGCCTGAGGTTATTTATGAGACTAACTGCCACTGGGAAGGGTGCACAAAGGAATATGACACTCAGGAGCAGCTCGTCCATGTGAGTAATGGTTGGGAGGAAACCCCAGCGATAAATTTGGGTTTCTGTGCACTTGTCCTCATTTTTTATCACTAGCTGCTGTACAGCCAGAGCTTACCCTGGGAGCTACTAAAGGTGCAAATCAGAGATACGGTGTGTAAACACTGCCAAAGCAGGTCGCTGCTCCCCAAGGAGTTCAGCTGAAAGAAGCCTCTCATAGATTATGTGATATTGCTCCCTTCTCAGCTGCTGAGGCTGCACTTTCAGTCTCCCTGGTGCATGGCCCAATGACAGAAGGCTCAGTGCAGAAGACTGGATCAGAAAATGGGGAAGGGGGCTGAGCCCTTCTCTCTTCACTGGCCATATTCACTGAGCCTTCCCACAGAGCTACACCAACTATGGGTCAGGGATCATCCATGCTGTCCTCAGTCTTAGTCCAGGCTGGGAAAGCTTCTAATGCTGCTGTTAGTGAGCTGTAGAGCCATATCACTTAGAGGCTGTTGACCTGCTCAGCTCATCCCTCCCAGAGAAACAGAGCACTTTCAGAGTTTGGAGATATGCTCCATGTCTGAAATACAGAAAGTGGGTTGATTTTCTAAAACTTGTGCAACAGGGCTTCCATAATCACAGTGATGTTCCCAAACCAGTGTCAAAACTGCTCTCTGAAGGATCCCCAAACCAGGTCATTAATCAGATTTTCAGTTCTAATTAATTCCAAGAACCTTTTGTGTGCTTTGCTTCATCTGCGTATCCACCATTTGGTTTCCTTTGGCTTCTGGGGTCAACAAATTCCTCATCCTCAGGGAAGTGTCTGTGAAATTGGACCTGATCTGTGTCTAAGCCCCATCTTGCTCCCAGCCCAGCACTCTCCCAGTCCTTATTTTGAATCTGTGGTGTGAGTCCCATTGCTTTGAAGCCAGCCTGTATCTTCTGGGAATTCACCAGCCCAGCAATCCTGATGCTTGCAGCAGAATTTTGGATTAAGCACATTTTGCAACAGGAGCAGCTACCTTTCCCTTTAGCTGCTTGCCTCAAACAGGCTCCCAGCATGCCAGGGGCCACCCATGTGCAACTCACATGTAGACCCCTTCCTGAGGGCTTGTGTCTGTTTTCACCATTTTTTATATATTTTCATTTTGGATATGCTCCCAAATTGTCATCAGTCACCATTTGCCCAAGTTCTGCACACAAACATTGTGCAGAGGGACTACACTCTAAATTATAATTTTGGGCACACACTCTTCTTCCATCTAAGGCTAGTGCCTGCCTGTCTCTGCCACTGGTTCAGTGCATCAAGTCCTTGAGTACAGACAGATTTGGAAACGGTTTTCAAGGCTAGTTGAGTGATAAGGTGTTTAATGGTTTAATGGCACATTGCATGCTATAGGGCATTGTTTTTTTTGGGTTAAACCACAGCATGCCTGTCAGATGGGCTGGGCTCACATTTGTCCAGCAGTTTTTGTGTGTTTCCTTCTCAGATGTATGAAAAACTAACTCTGCCCAGAGCAAAGTGCAGAGCACCAGGAAGCTCAGCACAATTTATTCCCAGGAAAAAAAACAACAAAAATAAACAAAGAAAAATGTTTGATGAAATATTACAGGATTTTCCTAAATTTGGAAGGTTACAAAAATTGAGTTTTCTGTACTGTGATTGCTAGCAACATAGGGTTGTGGACTTGGGATGCCCAAAATACACATGCAAATGAAATACAGATGTCATGGGCCAGCTTCTGAGAAGGTGCCATCTTGCAATGCATGGAAAAACTCCAGTTTGTGTGCAGAACAAAGTACCTGGGTGAGCAGAGTCTGTTGCTCACACACAGTTGTGCTTGTGGGAGAAGTGCATGTCAACAAGGAGCAGCAGCAGTGATGACATATTTTTTCCAAGCACCACTGCTGCTTCCAACCTCAAAGGTCACACTGAAATTGAGAGAAGCCCAAGCAAAGCTTTCGGCCAGGTAGGGGCTAAGGAGCTGTAGCTGAAGGGGGGTGAGCTGTGCAACTCCTCCTAAAGCAAGTGATGGGAAGCAGATGTTGCCTAGACAGGGAGTGAATAGTCTTGAATTGGGGGCTACAGTTCCCCTCCTTTAATGTTCTTACTCTGGCTCAAACAAGACCAAAAGAGTAAGCCTGTGCTCTTCCACACTCCCAACATTGCTGTGTGTAGTTGTGTTTGCAAGTTAGACTCCCACACAAACAGAGCCTGGAGATGTATCTCTTCAGTCTGCTCTGGACATGGTTTAGCATGTCCATGGGTCTCTGGGGAGGTTCATCAGATTTCCATCAGCTGAGGTTAAAATTTCACACTGATGCCACGTTGTAAAACCAGAACTGTAGGCAGCAGAACTCTAAACCCATACAAAGCCTCTCCCAAACCCAGGCTCTCCCAGCTCTCCCAGCACACAGCTTTGGCTCTCAGTGTTTATGTGTGGTGCCCAAGAGACCAGCTAAGCCCCAACATCTCCTCTTGTCCCTGGGTAGAACTGGGAACCCAGGCAGCAGGACCCCAACCCCAGGATTGGACTGCAGCACACAGAACACCGAGACTAGGTTCAGCTGGGACTGTGAGGGCTAATGAATCTGTTTTAATGTACTTTTGTGTCCTCATGCTGCCTCACTGCCCCAAGAGAGTCTCATCCCTAGCTGCAACATGTGTGCCTGGCCTTGGCCGGGGGATGAAGGCGGGGGCTGGAAAAGATTTCAGCACAAAAAAAGCCAAAACCCAAAACCAAAGTAGTTTATTTTAGGATTTCCTGTCAGTGAATGCCTTCTGAAAACACAGGAGCGAGGACAGGCATTATTTTTGGCAATGAGACCCCATCCAGAGAGACAAGGCCACCACGGGAACGGTGCTGCCGACGGGCTGGCCTCTGGCTCTGTTTATTTTTGGCAGGGCTTCATCTGCCCTGAGCTGGGGAAAAAATGGCCCTTCTCCATGCCAGGGTGGATGAAGGCACCATTCTGGGTCTGGCATTTCAACACTCCAGCACATAATTTCGTGGGCCTGAGTAATTATCAGTAATTGAGCTCTCCCTGCTGCATAGCTCTTAGATGCTGTCATTTCCTGCCAGTCACCAGCTCTGGACAGCAGGTGAATGTCATGGGGCCAGCATATGGACTTAGATGCATAGGATCATTTAGGTTGGAAACTACCTTTAAGATTATTGAATTCAGCCAAGGTTTGTCTCCTGTCCATCATCCTCCAGCACCCCAGGAAGGGGTCTCAGGTGTGTAAATGCAGCACAGGAGGGTTCAGCACAAACAAAAACTACTCTGTCATCCCCATCAAGAGTGGCATCAAGCAGCTGGGGGCACACTGAGAGGGCTCCCTGCTCCCAAAAGCTCCCATTGCTTTTGCAAACCTCCCATTTCTAGCCTGCTTTATACTGAGTGTGCTGGGTGCTGCACACCTTTGCAGGACACACCAGACCACAGTGCTGGGTCCATGTCCCTGGTGTCACCTGTGCACCTGGCACCCAGGTGCTGCAGTGCCTGACAAGCACTGGGGAGGGAACATCTGTCTTTCGGAGCACCGTGCATGATCCCCTGGCATCAGCTGTTCCAGGAGTGACCTGGTTTTCCTTTCTGTCCTACCAGCACATCAACAACGATCACATCCACGGGGAGAAGAAGGAGTTTGTGTGCCGCTGGCAGGACTGCACACGGGAGCAGAAGCCCTTCAAGGCTCAGTATATGTTGGTGGTGCACATGCGAAGGCACACGGGAGAGAAGCCACACAAGTGCACGGTGAGCTGGCAGGGACACATGGTGCATCTCACTTGGCATGTGGGACACCAGGCTGGGGTGGTCACAGAAATGTGATTGCAGATGTAGGCACGGCTTCAGGTAGGGCTCTACCAGTTAGCCACTGGCAGCAGCTCAGAGCCAGTCCAGCCCTCTGTGTCTGGGCTACAGCTGCTTGCAGGTTAGACCCTGGGGACAGGACAAGAGGTCAATGAGTGTGGTTGAGGTGTTAGTGGGCAAAACTGAATTTCCTTGGGAAGAACTATTTCAGAACTACCACAGACATCCAAAGCAACTCAGGACAAGTCACTTAAGGTGAAAATCCAGCCAATTTAGTTACATCCAAGAAAGAAATCCAGTAATGCCCTTACTGGAGCTGCCTAACCCTGGTTGTGTCTAACCTGGCATCACCCACTACAGCTGCTGGGAATGCAAGATTCCCTCACGCACGGACCCAAGCATGCACACATGCCTCTTTCTAGCCTGGGAATCTAGGCCAACACCTCCTGCCTCTGCTCTCTTAATCTAGAGGCGAGGTTAAGCCATAGGCGCTTAAACCCCAAGAAGAGCTCAGTCCCCAGACCTTCTGCATACCAGTAGCACTGTGTCTAGGGTTAAACACTGCCTGAGGAAGAGTATGGGGTACTGTTTTATATCTCAGCCATTTGGGTGCAGGCTCACTGACCAAATGGGAGAGCTGGGCTCTCCTCCTCCTTAGCCTCAAGATATGAAATCCTATATGTGCCTCCACACTTGGTGGTGCCTCTCACCAAACTACTTGCAAATGTGGGGCAGCCAAGGATGCCTGATGCAAGGCACAAGAGGGAAACAAGGTTATGGAGTTCAGTGACTGTGGTCAGCTGATGGGAGAGGTGTTGACAATCTCCCTCCTCATATTCTCCAGCCTTTATTCCTCCTAAGGTCTTCTCCTCCCTGTCTTTTGATATCCTCTGCTCTCTGCCTTCTCCTCCTGATGGCATTTATACCTCCTCTGCAGTCAGCATTACACTGTTCCTCTCCTCGGGGTCTTGGGGATGAGTCTCTTCCTGCTTAGCAAAAGTCTGAGCCCTCCTCCCATATCTTCCTCCTCTTCTGTTCTATTAGCCAATTCCAGCCCTGCTTGCTCCCTGGCTCTGCCCCAGCTCTTGCTTACAAATATTAGGATATGTATGATTTGCCTGCTGCATGGCTCCTTTATCAATCTTCCAGCCTTGTGTTCATTTAATTTAGAGCATAAGCTCCCCTGGGGCATAGGGCCATGTCCTTTGTTTTAATCTTCTAAAGCACTTTGCCCAGTCTAGTGCTTTACCAATCTTCCTTAAAAGTATCAAGAAATATTGATTGTTGGTGCATACAAAGTGAGCACTGAGGGCAAGTCTAGCCTGCCCTTGTAGGCAGAGGGACTCAGGAGACAAAAACAGCAGTGGCTGAATCCTCTTTAGTGCTGTGGTTGAGTAGGAAAAAACACTGCTACACAATCTTGCCCTTTTCAGGCCTCAGTTTTGTCACACTGGGGGCAATGGCAAGGCTGTGTTTGAGTCTCAAGTCATCTTCTGCCTCCTGGACTGCAGACCCTCCATATGCAGTATGTTGCAGCAATTGTCCCCAAACTGGAGAAGCACCATTTTCTAGTTGTCTGGGATAATGGCAGTTCTGCAGACGGTGCCCTTCTGTGGTAAAGCATTCCTTGTCCAAGTCTGGCAGTGATTTTTCAAAGTAACATTGGTTTCAGACAAGAAGTTTGTGGTGTACATAAAGCTACAGATGAGCCCAACTGCAGCCTGGGATTTGGTCAAGGGTGATTTCAAGAGATGACAGCTAGAACTCCCACTGGCATAATCAAATCCACACGTAAGGGTGGGAAAAACTGCTTTGAACATGCACAGGCTGCTTTGCTGAGAAGCTTTTATTTGAAAATGTGGCCTTAGAACTTTTGCTCTTAATAACTGCATTTTTGTGTCAGTATCCAGCAAAACTAGAATGAACACATGAGTTGTCTCATGCTGAGTTCCTTTGTTTTCCAGCAAGAGGAATGATGTATTTCAATAACTGTAAGCGACTTGAGTTGTAAAGGATTGTTTGTACAGGGCAAAAGAAGAAAGAGATATACTGTGCTACCTCAGAGCTGTGGCATGTTCTGTGGGACAAGTGGACTAATGCAAGTTGTCTGAGGAAGAAAAACTGGATCCACCCTGTCCTAACAAAGCTGTGGAAAGAATCAGTTCTTGCAGGATGCTCCTACTTGTCCTTGAAGAGATGTAAATATCTCAAGAGCAAAGCAGCTCTTCCCTATGTCCACCATCCCTATGCTAGACTTAAAGGGGATCTTAAGTAAGCAGCCTTTTCCATCACAACAAAGTTGCATGGGATCAACCTGTACCTACAAGCTTCATGGGTTTCATGGGCTGCATGTTTGCCTCCCTCCCTGCAATCTGGCAGGTCCTGTGCATGTGGAGCACAAGGTGACAGGTGCACATGCCTTTGACCAAACCTTTGGATGTGTAGAACAACTCAACTGCCCGTGGGAAAATCAGACCTGGCCTGCTGTGGCTCCAGTTTCTTCACTGGCCAAGACTCAAACAGAGCAATGTGAAGTCTTGTCACAACTGGACTGAACTTGTAGATGTGTTTAAGTGATGTGAATACAACACATACATTACAGCAGCAGGGGCTGCTTGTTGGAATTTAAAGGGTGTTTTTTTGTATAAGAAGTACAGCCTGAGTTTTTCAATGCTCCCAGCTGAACAGGCAGTGCAACATTTAGTTAGAATTTGCAAGGGAGCCTTGCATTTCTTAAAACCTCCCGCTTGTTTTGTCAAAGAGCACTTTGGAGACTCATTGGTTGGAGGTGAAATCCTCCCATGCTGAGACGGGGCAGGTGCAGGGAGAAGCCTCCAGCCCAGCCAGAATGGAGGGTGGCAGGACTTGAATCGCCCAAAGCCTCACCACATCTCCCAGGCTGCTCCTTCTCATTGTGTGGGCAGCTGGTTTCCTTCCAGGAGGAAGGTTCCTGGCCTGTTTTGTCATCCAGAAATCCATCTGTCTTCAAGACTGAGAGTCTTGTTTTTTAAACTGGTAATGTCAGACAGCCTGACCACAGCATCCTCCAAGAGCAAACCCAGGCTGTAATTTGGGAAACTTTAAAGCTTGCTAGATTTCTGGTTTTGTGTGTTAGGGAGCTGTCTGCTCTTTCCAGTGTTGGTGCTAGTGAAGTTGCAAGGCTGGTCAGACTGTGGAGAAGCTGTCAGTTCCCTGGGTGGGAAGGAGGGGGCCCCTGTTTCTGAGTGCTTTAGATGCAGAGGGGTGGCAGGAGGGGCTTGGAGAGCTCTGGGAGGACTGGAGTGGTGTTAGGTCTGCTGGAAAAAAAGAGTCACTTGTTGAAATGTCAGGTGGGTACTCAACAAGGAGTAGCACCTCAAATATGACTCACTGCTGAAACTCTCAACTTACCTAGGGAAGCAAATTCTCCCAACAAAGTGGATGTTGTTCCCTAAAACACAAGCCCTTTAAAAAGAAGAAAAAAAAGAAAGAATGGGAAACAGATTGGAAGGGTTTAGGCAGGGGGAAAATCAAATTTTTCTGGTTAATTAATCACTCCTCATGTGGTTTTTTTATTTTAGTTTGAGGGTTGTTCCAAAGCCTATTCCCGCCTGGAGAACTTAAAGACACACCTGAGGTCCCACACTGGAGAAAAACCTTATGTCTGTGAACACGAAGGCTGCAATAAAGCCTTTTCCAATGCCTCGGACAGAGCCAAGCACCAGAACAGGACACATTCCAATGAGGTAAGCCTGGGCTCACCACAGCTCAACGGAGGGCTTTTTTAAAATTTTGCTGACAATAAACATACACTTTACACACTGGACGCATGTAAAAAGAAACCTACTGTAATGTGAGGTTTATCTTATTTTTTAATGGGATTTATTTTTGCTGGGGAGCCAGACCACATTAGCTTTATATTTATGAAAGCTGTGTTTAAAATCATAAACAGATGTTAAAGTATGCAAACTTTTTAATCGACTTTGGAAATGAAAACAAGCATTTTCCAAATTTATAATTTTTAATAGCACAGATAGTATAGTACAGTTGTGCAAGTGGTGTTTAATATTACTGTGGAGCAGACTTGCAGTAATATAACAGCTACCCTGGATCCTGATGCTTTGGAAATAATAGTGCCTCCATCACTTGATGTACAATGATAGAGCACAATGCAATGCTTTGTTAACCTTGGATAATTAAGACCCACTATTAGTAGTTGGGGAGCAGAGGAAATTGCCTTTATTGTAACGCATGTGATGGTCTGTTGCAATCAACCACAGCCGACGATTGAAATTTATATTACCACTAATTAGCTGACAGGGGAAGAAAAACAACACTCTAAAGTTCTAATAGTGTTTTCAGCCATGAAGAATTCGGTCTGTAGCCTAATTTGCAACAGTTAAATATAGACTATTGGAGAATGGAACGCAGTTGCCACGGTTGACAGCCTTTTGAAGCAATGCTGTGTCTACAAAGGGCTTGTTGGGAGTATTTTTATCTCTGGCATAGTATCAGTCAGTGATAACCAAAGCTCTGTAGGTTTCAGAGATTCTGTTTGAGTCAGAATAAGGACTCAAAATCTAGAATCCTCTTCCAGACTGAGATGATGCTGAGATGGACCAATGAATGACTGGTATCCCAGGGTTGTTTGAACTGGTTTGGCTATGAACCCAAAAGTCAGGATTGTTCTCCACCAGCAAGATGCAGGCCAAAATTAACCTATATCCACACTTAAACTGGATAGCTTGGAGTTGTTTTAAGGCTACACTAACCTTGAGGCCAGGAGGGACCAAAAAGATAGGTTGCAGCCTCTCGTCTGCTTGGCATCCTGCATTCCCAGGGAGTGGTGTTTGACTACGTAATTTTTCTATGTTAAAGCTTCTTCCCCTGAAAGGTAGGCAATTTTGGTTTAATCTCACATTTTAGGTGTTGGAAATTGCTTGTTCTCCAGCCCTGGATTCTTTTTTTGCCTTCCTCCAGTGACAGATAGTGCTGGATCCAGTGTCTCTTTCATTGTTGATATTTCCACTTCCTAATTTTGCAGTGTTAAGCCACTCTCCATAAGTTCATAAGCTGAATAAATCAATAAAGCCACTGAAGATTTACATTTTTGCAACACTTTTTCTTGTCTTAAAGGAAATTTGCATCTCCCTTTGATTCCTAAGGATTCACATGTGAATGGATTAAGACTGCTGGTACAGCTTTCAGTGCTGGATACAGACTCACTCAGCCCAGTCTGTGCGCACTGATGACTTTTTTGCCCATAGATCACTTGAGCTCAGATCCCTGGAGTTTTACCAGGAGCTTTGCTAGGCAGGGCAGTTTCCCATCTGAGCCAGCTAATGCTCCATGTAGAATTTTCATTTTGAATGTGTTAGTAAGTGTAATTTCTCCAATGGGTTCAGATTCCCAAGTGATCCAGATCAAGAGTTGCATTGGATCTGGGATGATTCCTCATTTCATCTGAGAAGAGCTTGAACACACTTGAAAGTCAGATCATTTGGGTTCCCTTTGTGCAAGAAGGTGAGGCTGTGGGACAGGAGCATCCATCTCCATGTCTCTTGTGGATCCTGATCTAAATATGCTGACACTTGGCACAAACTGCCTCCAAACGACCCAGCCAAAGACTCAGATAACAGAGAAGGATTTTATCCTCTGCAGTTGCTTTCCCTGAAGGACACCTACCCCTCCTCTGGTGTAGGAACAGCACAGCCACTAGTGGAGGATCTGTACCAGACCAGCTGGCCCTGCCACAGGAACTATAAGGCACTACCACTATTCAAATGATCTTTTTTGCAGTCATGCTTACTCCTGAACTGCTGTTCAGCCCTCCTTGATGCAGTAGAGAAATACCCCAAGACTTTGGGAGATCTGTAGGCTGCATACAATGGCTCTCTGGGCCATATTTTTGACATCCTCTTTCTGAGTATCATCTAACACAATCCTTTACACCAGGTGGTGTCCCTCACAGCAAAGCTCCTCACACTGGGCAGCAGGCCCAGGCAAAGGTCCTGCATCCAGCTGTGGCCATGACCACTGCCTTAGCAAACTGTACAGAGACCATGGCTCACAAAACCACACAAATGCAAAGCAGAAGTTTGTGGCTGTGAATATTTCCCATTACCCATTGGTAACTCTCTTGTGGTTCCTAGCTACCTCCTAAATATTTTCATCTGCTTGCAGTGTTTACTTGGATTACACCAGTTTCAGAGTTAGTCATCCAAGTTTCCTCTAAGGGGGAAGTTCCAGGTTCCCTGTGTTTGTCACTATCATTGTGTGACAGGATGTAGGTGTATGGTCCAAACAAGCTGAAGTTCAAGGCTGGGCATATGTTACCACACTGGCTTTGGTATGATTGTTGAAATGTCATACACACTACATTTTAAACTTTCAGTGATTGTTTGAATCCCTTCAGGGGACACCTTCAAAGTCACACCTGGAAAAAGGGCTTTCATCCTGTGACAACTCTCCAGTGCATACACAGAGGAGTGGCATGAGTTCATGGCCAGCCAAAGACTCACAGTGACATTTTCAGCAACTCAAGCTGAACAAGGGTAAAACACATAAATCCAGTTCTGCTTGGTGTGTGGGGAGATCTACAGTTCTCCCACCCTAAGGAGTATTACCCTGTATGTGCATGAGCGTAGGAGTTTAGATATCTAAACTCTTGACTTCACTAGGGTGAAGATGTCACTAGATGTCAAAATCTGAATAACCCAGGGACAGATGCAGGCACACTAATGAAACAGCAGTCATGCTTAGCTCAGTTGCAAGACGTATGGCCTGGTGAAGAGGATGATTGAATCCCCTTAGGTGGAGTGTCTGCTGTCTAAGCAACAGTGATCATGTTACCCCAATTGCTGGGGTCTGAAAAATCATAACTGTTGAGCCTAAAGAATATTTACTAAAAAATATTTGAGCTGTTCATATACAGAATTTTTTCAGCACATGTGGTGGGGGTTCTGTTCTTTGTAATAAAGCTTAATAGCTGTAATAGTATTTCTATAATGCTTGTCCAAAAGGTTGCATGATATTTTTAAATAAATTATTTAAATTTTTGTGCTTTGGTTTACCCAGCTTTAAAATATATTAACTATTTTACCTCAGTGGGGTATTATGTGGATTTAACTGGCTTGAGTGATGTGCCAAGATCAGTCAGGAAGCATGCTTTTGAATACAATACAGACTTTCAGTGTTTTTCATGTGATGATGCTGGCTTTCTGCAAAGCATATATACTCCTTTGTATTTTTTCACTTAAATTCCTGGACAACATTACAGAACAGATATAAAAAAAAACAGAATAGGAATGGTCATTTTGGGTAGCCTTCAAATAACATCTGTCTCTTTTTTCTCATGTATCTATCCTAGTGGATTGGCAGAAAAAGACATAAAGTAGTTGTGAGGCCAAAAGCGGAATTTATGATGAATTCAAAGCTTCCAGTGCAGCAGCACCAGCTCAAACAACTGCAGTGCTAATACACTTTGGAATTGAAAACTCAGTAAAATAAAAGAAGTTAAAAGAATAAAAGTATCTGTTGCAGATTTCTGTTTTCAGAAGCATGGCTTCAGCCTTGTTTTCCTGTGGCAATCAATGATTCATGAATTCGGGATAGAGTGCTGTCGTCCAAAAAAAAAAAACATTGCATGCCTGTGGTTTGTTTTGCACAATAGCAGATTTCAAGGTGACAGGTGCTGGAGTGGTGTGATAGATTGAGTAGGGTGAATCCAGTCTGGCTTGAATTCACTGGACTTCCATCAGCCCAAAGGTTTCAGACATTTTATTGGTGTAGACCCCATCTTAGCAGAGTGAATGTGTTATGCCCAGTCCGCTACATCACCTCCTTCCCATCCTTAATCAGAAAACATTCCTGTGGCCACCCAAGCAAATACATACATGGGAAAGTAATACTAGGCAAGTATTTCATGAATTCTTAGCTGTCTTTTGATCCAGAAACTGAAAACTAGAAGTTTAGCCAACATGAAATGGCCAGCCAAATCTGTGTGGATCAGCAGCAGCCCATATATCACATCTTCCATATCTCAGTCTTACAGAATCCTGTGGAGCAGATGCTCCACATTTTGCTGCTGCCTGCTGCTTTGCTCATTATATTTTTTTGGCCCATACACTGTATCTGGAATATTTGGGCTTATTCTAAATATAACCCAAGGTTTGCTTGTACTGACAGAAACCCTACGTCTGTAAAATCCCTGGCTGCACGAAGCGGTACACGGACCCCAGTTCCCTCAGAAAACACGTCAAGACAGTGCACGGGCCTGATGCCCACGTCACAAAGAAGCAGCGCAATGACGTTCACCCGAGGCCACCTCCACTCAAGGAAAATGGGGACAATGAGGCAAGCGCCAAGCAGAGCAGCAAGGTGTCAGAGGAGAGCCCCGAGGCCAACAGCACCACAAGGAGCATGGAGGATTGCTTACAAGTCAAAACAATAAAAACAGAGAATTCTGTGGTAAGAGCAGTTGCTTTTGGCAGAAATGACATGGTTCCTGATTTCTCTGATGCACTAGGGGCATAAAGCATTTGTATTCCATTTACCTCTCTGGGCAGGTGGCCTTCAACCCTAGAGTTCAAGTCCAGGAATGAAACTGCAGGTCAGGGCACAGTCCACTGCATTTTGTACTTTCCTACCCAGCATCATAAATTCCTGCCCTTGTAGTCATAGGAGCCAAGTGATGCCCCTTGCTGAGGTTGGCATTCCTCTGCTGTGAAAGTGGGTAAAACCCAAGAGTGTTGTGGTCAAATGAGCTTTACCTACCCCACCAGTTTAAATTGAGCAATGACCACAGGGCACAGATTGATGAATGCTTCTTGAAGCAAAGGTCCTGGCTTAAGCAGTCCCTTTTCTCCTCCTCCCTGTACCATTCACTTCTTTTCTTTCTAGTCTGCTGCTGTTTGATGAAGCCAGTGGGGATAAAACTAGCTGTTCTATTTTTGTTGAGTATCATAAAGCAAGTTCAATTCCTTGATCCTATACACCATACACAGAAGCACAAAATCCCTGGGGTTGTTAGGGACCTCTTGAGATTATCTAATCCCACCTCCCTGATCAGCCAAGGTTGGCTAGAGCAGATTACTCAGGAGTACAGAAATTCAATACATGACTCCTAGCTGCCATAGAAAATTGTAGTGAGATGATGGGGCAGGGTAGTGAAATTAGGAATAAACAGGGGACCAGTGCTGTGGCCCACAGAGTACAGACTGTCAGTCAGCCATGATCAAGTTTTACAGCTCCAGCACCTGAAGCAAAGACCATTTATCAGCTTTCTGTCCATTACAGCAGCTCCACAATTGGCAGTAGTGTGGTTAGTGGTACTAAAGAGCTGTGTATAGTGGTGCTTTCCAACACATCAAACCTCTTCCACCCCAGTCAGAATGGAGGAGGAGATGAAGCATTGTAACACATGAATCACTTTTACCTTTTGATGTTTTCTTTTCACTTTTGTACCCAAAGTTCTGGTCTGCTGCATCAGCTCAGAGTGGGACAGGGTATGGGCTGGATACAGAAGAAAAGACCTTCACCTGCAAAGGAATGTTCATATATTCCCCAGACTTCCCACTTGAGCTGAAAAGACTTTGAGCTCCAAAATATATATTTTCTTGATTTGAATCCAGCTAAAAGATAGTTATTCCTGTGAAAAACATGCCCTGGAGCTACAGAGATTTTCTCAGAAGGGTTAGGGGATGAGTTGTTGGACAAATTACTACGGAGCAGCATGTTTCAGTTAAGAAAAAATTCAGTATTTATACACCCAGAATGTCTCTAATTGACTAAAGAAACAGTTTCCTGTGATGAGGTTCTGTACTGTGTTGCAAAAGCTGAGTGTGAGAACCACTGGAGAGAATGACCTTTCTCCAATACTCTTCCTCCATGTGTTTTGTTGTTTTTGTCCTATGAAAACACTGACACGATTACAGCTCCCCACCCTGCTTCTGCTGAAGGTATGGGTTTGTTTTCCTAGCACTCTGTGCTGCCAGAGTTCCAGCCAAGCCATCTCACTGGCAGCAGGGTCATGTGTTTCTCTTCACTGTCCCTCTCTAGCACCGCGTACTTCCCTTGTGCACATCTGACAGGTGGCATCTCATGGGTGGGTCCACATCCAGCTCCTGTTTCGTGGGTAAGGTCGGGGTGGTGGGAGGAGTGAGATGCTTCACTGGTTCCCATCATTCCCAGGCTCCTTGTTTTGACCCATATTTGTGTGCCACCCCAAACCCATGGAAACAGGTAGAAAGTCTCTCCTAGGAGCTTTTATTTGTGCCCTCAAAGAGGGAAGGCAGGAAAGATGGGGTATGGGAGCGGGGGATATCCTGGTAATTTGTGCTGTATTCTGCATTTCCTTCTTCCTCCTTTTACTAACCTGGTCCTTTTTGTTAATGCTGTCTTTGTCCTAACAACCTGTTCTTTATTCCCACTTCCCCTTCCTTACTCTACCTTCCTAAGGACAGTCGGTACTAAGGTGAGCAAAGAAATCCTTTGTATTAAAATAGCTGTATAAAGCATGATCTCCTGCAGATCTCTGCCTCCATTTAACTCTCACAGGGTGGAAGGGAAGTATGTGGGGCAGTGGGGAGGGATAGGAGAAATTTACTTGAGTGCAGAAAGGGAAAGGGGGAGGATGCAGTGCCCAAGGATTCCCTTTGCCACCATTCTCCCAGCATCACAATTTGCCATTAAATATTGGAATTGGAATCTCTATCATCTAGACTGAAGGGCAATCAGAGCCAGTCAACCCTGCCCATGGGGGGCTGCTATGGTGTAAAGTAACAACACTGCAGCACTCCGCATTCCCACCTTGGCCCAGGGCAGAGTATTTTGCATTATCAGCACTCCCATTTTTTGCTGGAGCATGGGCCTGGAGCAGAAAAGCCAGGCATCCTGTTTGGTAGCAGCAGCAGAGCAAGTTCAGACCATGTAGTTTCTGCTGCAAATAAACTACTCAGTGTGAGTAGTTTACATTCCTAATGTAAATAAAATAAATATTTATGGTGCTTATCTGTCTTATCTGAAAGTGGGAGTTTGCAAACAGTGAGCCAGGTTTTTATCTGGCGGGGAAGTTTGTCAGCTAACATAATTATATGTTAGGGTATTTTAAAGACAGAAATATGTTGTGTCTGAAATACTTAAACCTTGATCCCATGTTAGATAAGCCAGTGTTTGCTGCAATATACCTTGCACAACCAGGTGACATGCTGCTTTTCTTTGAGAAACATCTGTCCTTCTTTTGGAGAGAGAGCATTTGGTTTCTCTCCATCTTGCAGTTGAATCACCATGGTTTTTCCAGATGTGGGGTGCTGTCCCATCCTCCTCTCACAGGGAGGAGGCACCTGCTTTTTGGAAGAGCTGAGATCCTGCTGCAGCAGGGAGGGGTAACAAGGGAGGGGAGAGCCAAGGATAGGAGCTCTCCTAGCCTCCAGGATCCATGGGATGTTGGGCTCCTGATTTCTTTCCATCCATGTTTTCACCTGCCCAACCCTTTTTCCTCTTTTCCCTCCCCAAGATGTGTCAGTCCAGTCCTGGTGGCCAGTCGTCATGCAGCAGTGAGCCATCACCCCTTGGCAGCACCAACAACAATGACAGTGGAGTAGAAATGAACATGCATAGCGGGGGAAGTCTGGGAGATCTGACGGCGTTGGATGACAACGCTCCTGTCGTGGACTCAACAGTCTCATCTGGTAACTCGGCAGTCAGCCTGCAGCTAAGGAAACACATGACGACGATGCAACGACTTGAACAGCTCAAGAAGGAGAAACTCAAGACAGTTAAGGATTCCTGCTCATGGGTGAGCCCAGCTCCACAAGCCAGAAACACCAAGCTGCCTCCCATCTCAGGAAATGGTAAGCCCTGGGCCTGGACCATGTCCTGTAGGAACATTTCAGAGTTTGACTCTGGTTTCATAACCAAGAGTGCCCTGGAGGAATGAGGATCATTCTTTATTGCCTCTGAGTCATGCTTTGAAAGATAAAGATGTCAGGTGAAATGGACAGCTTGGGTGTAAACACAGCCATCTGGTGATGTGCAAGAGAAACCCAGGTGCTCAGTTCTACAGACCTATAAAGGGAGACAGAGGTTTTGGTGTCCTTGTTTCTGAGCTTGCCCAGAACCAGACACAGCTGTCCCCATTGTCTCAGTTACAGCCACAAGACTGCTTGCAATTTTTTCTAGCAGTAAGAATTCCCCAAGGGCTAATGTGCTTCTTAGGAGACCACTGGAGCACAGCAGCAATCCAGACAAGATCTCCCTCCATAATCTTGCTCTGACAGGCCTTTTGTCACTCAGAAGCTCCGGCTGTTGCCTCCAGCTTCATATGCTCATTTCCCACTGGCTGGTGATTCCTGATAAAAGCATCTTTTTGAACCCTCTAGAGGTCCTCTAACTTTGCCAAGAAATCCAAAGTCATGGCGCCTGGGTTATACTAGATCTCAGAGCTTCTTGGGTTGCTCTTGGAAGAGCTCTTGAACATCAACCTTTGGGCTCTTGGCCTGCTCTCCCTGACTGCTGTGCATCTGTCCCAGAGAGTAGCTGTGGTTGTAGCTATGTGGGGTCCCTGTGGCATTTTCCACACCAGTCCTACCTTTGTCCTACTGAGGGAAGCCCACATGGAGACATTTCCTCAGAAGCTGAGTATAAGGGGTGTACATGTTACAAACACTCTGCAGCGGGGATTTCTTAGCTTCTCTCCCCAGACTTCTTGCCCCCTTTGCATGAACACAGAGCTAGAAATGAAGTTTTGAATTCACTAGCAGCACATGAAACTCATCGTCACTCCCGTGAAATATCTGGGGGTGGCTTTGTGGGTCTGTATTCTGGCACCTAGAACACTACGAAGTGAAATTTCTCAGCTGACTAAATCTTTTCCTTCCCTGCAACCTTTCTTCCAGGCTCTGTTCTAGAAAATAGTGGTGGTTCTTCTGCTATGCTGCCTAACCCCAGAATAATGGAGCTGTCTGTCAACGAGGTTACAATGCTGAACCAACTCAACGAGCGCCGTGACAGTACAACAAGCACCGTCAGCTCTGCCTACACTGTGAGCCGCAGGTCCTCAGGGATCTCCCCGTACTTCTCCAGCCGCCGCTCCAGTGAGGCCTCGCATCTCGGGCACCGCCCCAACAACACGAGCTCTGCTGACTCCTACGACCCCATTTCCACGGATGCCTCCCGCCGGTCGAGCGAGGCGAGTCAGTGCAGTGGGATGCCGGGTCTGCTGAACCTCACACCAGCTCAGCACTACAGGCTGAAAGCCAAGTACGCTGCTGCCACAGGGGGCCCACCTCCGACTCCCCTGCCAAACATGGAGAGGATGACCCTGAAGAACAGGATCTCACTTATGGATGGGCCAGACCCCACCTTGCCCTCCATCCGCCTCCCACCAGGCCCTAGACGTTGCAGTGATGGTAACACCTATGGCTACCCATCAGCTCCAGCATTTCCCCATGAGGTGCAGGGCAACTGCACGAGACGGGCAAGCGACCCGGTGAGGAGACCTCCTGGAGACCCTCAGGCTCTCCCACGAGTTCACCGCTTCAACAGCACTAACAGTGTGAACCCCTTCCATCCTCCACACGCCACAGACAGGAGGAATTTTGGTCTCCAGAGCTATGGGCGTTCAGATGGGAGCCTGCCCCGGCACACCTACTCACCTCGGGCACTGAGCATCAGTGAAAACATCACCATGGAGGCCATGTCCGGGGAGACAGATGTGCCCATTGGAGATGATGACATTATGCTGCCAGATGATGTGGTACAGTACATCAAATCCCAGAACAATGGGACAGTGGCTGAGAGCACTTCTGTGGGGTACAGCAATGAGATGCAGAACTTCCAAGGAGGTGGGAAGCTGCAGCCTCCAGCCTTGCCCAGCCAGCGCAGGATGGCAGTGGCAGAGGCAAGTATGAGCCACTTGGGACCCATGATGGCAGAGTGTTCCATGAGTTTTGATACTTCTTCAGACATGAATAAAAATAACATGCCTGTCCAATGGAATGAAGTCAGCTCAGGCACAGTTGATATCATGTCCAATCAGTCAAAGCAGCAGTTTTCACAGGGGAACTTAGCAGTGGTCCAGCAGAAGCAGAACTTTGGTCAGTACCAGAACTACAACCAGCAGCAGATGCAGCTGCCAGACAACAGCATGAATGCAGCACAGCAGAGCTTTATGCAGAGGAACATGGGCATGGATGGGCAGAGGGTAAACTGCATGCAGCTGCGGCAGCAGCACATGAGCCTAGGTCCCAGCATGAACCCCGATATGGGCTTGCACACAGCGTATAACCAACCACATCAAATGCTGAGCCCCAGTGCAGTCAGTGGCAATCCAAATCAGATCTCTCCTAATTGTAGCAACATGGCAGCAAAATCTGGATCCCACATTCACCCTCAGCAAATGGACATGGCAGCCAACCCTTCCTTGATGGTCAGGAGCAACAGTGAGCGCACAGTGCTGGGACAGGTCATGCATGAACCGAGTCAGCAGAACTACTCGTCTCAGTCAAGCCACCTGAACTTCCCTGTGGCACAAGAGACCTTTCCTCAGCCCATCATGTCCTCCAATCAGCCCAATTTTGAGCCTCAGCAGAGCGTGATGGGTTCAGCTGCGCAGGCATATCCACCTGGCATGATCCAGCCTCATCCTCCACCGGAGCCGAACCCGGGCAGCAGACCCCGAGGGGTCCGCACTGCCCAGCAGCTGGGCTACATGAGAACTCCCCATCCTACGAGCACCATCAGCCCTGGCCAGGAGACAGCAGAGGCCATGCATAAAAGAAACAGCGACATGCTGCTGGCACCAGCCCAGCAGTGCGCGGACGGCACGAGGGACAACAACCTGATGTACTATTACGGCCAAATCCACATGTATGAACAGAACAACGGCTTCGATAACCACACGGACTGTCGGGTCAGGCAGCAGCAGTGCACACAAAACAGCAAGCCAGCCACTCTGCCTTCCCCAGGAACAAACCAGGTGTCCAGCACAGTGGACTCTCAAGGTCTTGAGCCGCCCCAGATAGATTTTGATGCCATCATGGACGATGGGGACCATTCAAGCCTGATGTCGGGAACCCTGAGCCCCAGCATCCTGCAGAACCTCTCCCAGAACTCCTCTCGCCTGACGACTCCACGAAACTCTCTGACACTGCCCACCATACCTGCAGGGATAAGCAATATGGCAATAGGTGATATGAGCTCCATGCTAACCACGCTGGCAGAAGAGAGTAAATTTCTAAACATGATGTCGTAACACTAAAGCACAAGGTCTTGGTGCTATCCAAGGGGCCCTGCGTGAAGCAGTTGTATGAATGTGCTTTTCAAAAATAATCTGTTTCAATAGAGTAGGGTTTTTTATAAGTGTTAAATACATTAAAGGATTTCAAAATGAAAATTTTTTAAAATCTGTGTACAGAATTATGTAAACTATATGCAGGCAGTTCAGTACCACAAGGGTGCACCTCTAGTATTATTTTTTTTGGCTTGGTTTCCCAGAGCACTGAACAGTATCACCACCAAGCTAGGAGACAGCCTAAGGGTGGTTAGAGATGAAACCCTCCCTTCTGGGAAGCCCTGTAAATAGCCTTCCCCATCATTTTTCCATTAGTTACATTTGCAAAAAAAGTCCGTTTTCAACCCACCCAGAAAGAAATGGGAGGATGCGGTTTTGGTTAGACTAAAAGCCATACTATGTATTCTGCTCTGATGAGAGTAGGGTTTAGTTAAGTCTCCAAACAAGCCCTCTGCCAGCAGTATTGTTTTATACCATAAATACCTTTGTACCTTGCAAAGAGCGACGTTTCCAAATGGCTTCTCAGCAAAGTGCCTTACCATGCTTTCTTGTTAAGTAGCCAAGGCCTCTCTTCCTTTAAAAATCAAATATAGTGTATTGTCAGAAGCATATATAAAATGTACATTTATAAAAACATAGTGGTGTTTCTGAGAAAACATTGGAAAGACACATTGATGAGACACATAAAAGGTGAATGCACACTTTGATCAGATGTGTTTACAACGTGGTTTATATCATGTGCAGAGTGGAGCAGAGGTCTGGGAACAGCAATCACTGGGAAATAATCCCCCGTGGCAGGAAGGCTCTGGCATGCAGACTGACACACATGCATAACTTTGCACCTTCTAAACACAGTGACTTTCTGTGAGTGCCCCACATACATCATTAATGTCAAAGTGCTGGAGCACACATTACTGGATCCCAGTGCAGCTTTGCAGCAGTTTCAGTCTCTGGTGGGTTTTCCATGCTGAGGTGCTCATATAAACAAGTGATGGTGATGGAGGACTTTTATGATTGTTCCAGCCCAGTGTGCACTGTGGCAGCACCAGGGGAACAGGTTAATCTGCCAGGGTTCGTCTGTGTGATGTGTTCAGTGCAGGGTCCTGCCCGGGCTCCATGTGCACAACAGGTACCTTGGTGCACTGATGTGGGGCCAAGCATAAGCCAAAGCACTCTGCCCCACAAGCAGGCTTGTTGGCAGGCACCCAGCGCTAGCTTAACATGTCCCACAGCATGAAAATACCTGCTGTATCCAAAAAATATACCACGGTCAACCTGAGTTGTTCATTTGACTAGCAGACTGCACCTGCAGCCTGCAGCACCTGCGCTTGCAGACTGCACCTGCAGCACTAAACATGTGTATAGTCTGAAAACAGATATTTGAGTCAGAATAGTAGCTTGCTCTTTCCTTCCCATCTCTCTGTCATATCAGTGTCATGTTCTCATTTGCACCTGACTCTGTCACTGCCCAGGACCAGGACAGCTCTGTAAGGGTGTTTGCTGGTGTCTTTGCTTTCCTTTTGCACAAACTGATGTCAGGATCACTCTTCCCAGTATCACCAGGGGCTGACATGAAAATGCCACATGCTACCTCCAGGCAAACTCTGTGACATCAGGTAGGCAGGAGCTGTGGACTGGGGCAGCTTTGCTGCCAGGTATTCCTGGCTACAGCTGGTGCAGGGAGGTGCTGCTCAGCATCCTGCAGTCTCATCATCCTCATCCCAGATGCAGAGAGTGCACACAGGGTACTCGTACCCCTGCCTTTCACCCTTCAATGATTTCTGCTGATGTCCAGGGTGCATGAGGACAGGGAAGCAAAGCAAGGTGCCTGGCTGTTTATTTGTGTCTCCTGTGAAAGTTGTGTTTAAAGGGATTGTTTTATAATCTGCTGTATATATTCTCCTGCAGTTACTGACCTTGCCCTTGCCTTCGCATTTATGAAAAGAGGGCAGTACATGTTTTAGGACATTGTATGTTGTCCTGGACACTTGGAGTACAACTGGGCATCCCTTATGCTGAGATGGATCAGACTTTTGTGTGTCCTTTGATTGCTAATGACTTTTTTAACAGCTGCATAGGGCAACAATGGCTCCTGAGTCCCTCCTCACAGATATCTCATTAGCAAAAGTTCAAATACAGAAGCAAAACCAAATCTCCAATGACTTGAGATTTTTTGGACTTTCCAGTGGTGGTCTTCCTTCATTTACTGAAAAAGTATTATAATAATCTTTCCAGCACTGTATATATTATGTATAGAAGACATCATTACTAAAAGTACTGTAGGTGAATTGTTCTGTCAAATTTATATCCTAAGAACATTTTTAGCTGTTTTCTACATCGTAAGAATGGAGGTAACATGCTGAACCTGTATATAAACCTTTTGTACATTAAAAAGTAATTTTTTTTTCATAATTCATTGTGTTGTTATTTCTTTTTATTGGCAAATGGCGATTGGTTGGTTGGTCGGTCTTGGTCTGTCTTTACCACACCAACACTGTCAGTTGGACTCTGGTGGTGCTTAAGAACTATTGGTGAGGACCTTCTAGGGTGAGTGATACAGCACAAATGTGGAATGGTCTTGCCTTGAAGAGCTTCCACTTCACAATGAGCTGGAGGTGGCAGAAGGAGAGGCAGCAAGGTCAGTGTGTGCTGCAAGCACAGTCCTGCTGCCCAGGTGTCTTTCACTGCCTCTTGGCAGAGGTGATTTGAAGGACAGTGGCAGTGCAGCAGGGAGAGGCTCAGAGCAAGGGCCTGGACAAATTTGTCAACTAGAAAATTTATGATAAAAATGGCTTGTTGACTGACTTGGTCGTTGTCCAAAAGGAGACAGAAATAGGACAGATTAGCAGAGTTGTGATGGGCCATGACAGTGGCAAATTGAATACTGGGTTTGGAGAAAGGAGAAATTAATCTGTGCATTATGGATGTGATGAGAAGCAATTATTGGGTGAGCAACTGATAGATACATCAGTAGTGACTAGTTAGAGTCTCATCCAGCTTCTTGATGAGAAAGATTTAATTTGGCTGCAGCAAGAGTTAGTTCAGCTACTCAAGAGATTGACTTTCAACTTGTTTTTGTGGAGGTGTGCACAGGGCTAGAGCCGTAAGGGAGGGTGAGGAGGCTCACAGGTGATCCTCACGGGCACAGCAATGAGCTTGGAATGAAAGCTGCTGAGCCAAGCAGTTGGCCAGTGAGTCAGTGAATTACACTTGGTGCAAATGAACCAGCAGTTTCATGCAGAAGCAGCTGAAGGGGATATACTCCTTTTCCTCTCTGTGGGATCCCTCCTGAGCTGATTACCAGAATCAGGTACGTAGAATCAGGTACATATGGGACCAACCCTCACCCTGTCTTCAGGATTCCTATAAATGGGATTAATTGTCTGGGTTCCTTCAAAGTCCGTGGCAAGAGATTGGCACATCCCTCTTGTGAAATTAAAATCATTTTTCTGAAATCATTTTCATGTGTCTAAAATCCTGTTTGAGACACATGGAATGGGGTGGACTTTTCCTCTGAAAGACATGTGTCACTCTCCTAATTGATTACAGAGAGACCCCCAAGTAGCCAGCTTAGATGCCTTGTTCAGTGGGGCGAGGTGAATCCCATACTCCTGTGGATCTCTTACACTAATCTGGTCACCCTCAGCATGATCTGAGGTTGAGTCAGTGGAAGTGTTAGTGATCCTGTTAGCCTGTTATTTATTGGATAAATATCACAGCCCTCTGTACTGTCCAAGAACTACAGAAATCACAATAAAAATGTAGTCATTTTATTAAAAGGAAATTGTTCAGGTCTTTTCTATTGACAAAAGGTTTTGGAGACTCAGCTCCTACTGCTTTTCTACTTTAAACACTTAAAGTAGGTTTCTAATCTAGATCAAATGATGCTTTTAGCTGGTGTTTCTCTTCAGAGTTCAATCAGGGCACACCTCTGCCAGTGTGAGAACATATTTATTACTTAAACTGGGCTAAGATTTCCTAGGAGCCCATCTGAGGTCATGTACCAGCATGTGCATTTTTACTGCTTTACCATTCTGGAATAAACAAGGAACGAAAGGCTTACTGCTCCAGTTGTAAGCAGGTAATAACCCTTCTGCAGCAAATGTTGTTTATAAGCCAGAGCTTGGAGTTTATACTACTGTGGCAGCTGCATAATATTCAATTAACCTTCTTTTTAATCAATCATATCCCTTATGAAAACAAACCATCCTAACAGGTCTGATTCTGACCTTCTTCGGTGAGTGTTAACCTCACTTCACTCCCAAAACCAATGGGAGCATAGGAAGAGTAAGATCCCACTCTGGGTAAAACCATCACAGCTCTTTAATATTGCACTAATATCTCAGGTTTTCCTGGAGGGGAGAAAAAAGCCCATAAAAGCTACTGTTGCTGGATCTGATTGCACTTACTGAGTACAGAGTCACTCCAACAGCTCTTTATTGCAGTGGTCTCTGTAGGGATGACATAGGGGCTCCCGTTCTTTACGAGCTGTTGGATCTACTTGGAAGCGCATACGTGTGGTAAACAAATGGTGTGTTTTATATTATTGGAAAGACAATTTATGACCAACCAAGGTCTCTTGCAGACAGCCATTTAACTTGTAAGTAAAATGACCTAACACTTAAGAAATTTAGAAGCTACAAAACAACCCGTGTTGTGCCCAGTACACTTATTTCTCTTTGATTTATGCTTCATGTAAAACTTGAAATGGCCATATTAAATATATTTGGTGTAAAAAAAAAAAAAAAAGAAAAAGAAAAAAAGAACAATGCAATGTTTTCACATATGCTGAGGGTTTATGACTACCGCTGCACCAGCACTTCCGATTCATGACATGGGTCCCTTGGCATCCCTTATTTCCATTTTCCCCACACTGACCTGTCTGGCAGATATGTAGAGGGCATGGTGGCATGCCTGCTGTCACCTTTAGAAAAGCTGCTACACACAAATACAGTGCACTT